TGTACCAGGAATGTACTAGGTATGTACTAGGTATGTGCTAGGTATGTGCTGAGTATGTACTAGGTATGTACTAGGAATGTACTAGGTATGTACTAGGAATGTACTAGGTATGTAGCAGGAATGTACTAGGTATGTAGCAGGAATGCACTAGGTATGTACCAGGAATGTACTAGGTATGTGCTAGGCATGTACCAGGAATGTACTAGGTATGTACCAGGAATGTACTAGGTATGTACTAGGTATGTGCTAGGTATGTGCAGAGTATATACTAGGTATGTACTAGGAATGTACTAGGTATGTACCAGGAATGTACTAGGTATGTACCAGGAATGTACTAGGCATGTACCAGGAATATACTAGGTATGTACCAGGAATGTACTAGGTATGTACTAGGTATGTGCTAGGTATGTGCTGAGTATGTACTAGGTATGTACTAGGAATGTACTAGGTATGTACTAGGAATGTACTAGGTATGTACTAGGAATGTACTAGGTATGTAGCAGGAATGTACTAGGTATGTAGCAGGAATGTACTAGGTATGTGTTAGGTATGTACCAGGAATGTACCATGTATGTACTAGGTACACATATGGTACATTCCTGGTACATACATGATGTACTAGGTATGTACCAGGAATGTCGAAGGCTGTTGTAAAGATCTTTCATTTATTTTAACCTTCTTCATAAGTTTGTTTAGGGACTTACTGATACGTATTTGTCCTAACTAGGTACATTTTGGATTCTTACCTGGTACAGATCATGTTTGTACCTTCAACTTACTGAATACTTACTATGTACACATCTGGTAACATATCAGGTCAGTACTGGATATGTCATCTGATACCTACCTGTTGCGTATCGTATACTTACCTGGTAAACTGGCTACCAAAATGTGTTTTCATGTGATGTTCAACACTTCTTACAACTTCAATAAAAACAAGTGATTGTTTAAAATACAGAAAAGTTTTTTTTAACAGTTATGTTGTTGAAATATCACCTGCTGCCATCCTCTTCAGCTCTATTTTGAATAAAGCCTGTCAGCAGGTGATTACAGAGCAGCTGTGGACCACCAGTGGGTACCATGACCCACAGTTGGTCAAAAACACTCCTTCTACTGGTTATAAAAAGATGTGAGGTCAAAGTGAAACACCTTTCCTCCCTCTGCTTATAACACTGTTTATTTCTTGATTGCAAAGCCTTCAGCTCATTCTGATGTATCCTCCTCACACCATTAAAAACAGCCCCATACACTAATCAGTACACTTGTGGAAATAACTGCATCCTGTGAGTGAAACTGATTTTTAATCACTGAAGCATAGCGTTCTGCCTCATCACTGCTCGCTAAGCCACTTTCCAAAAAAACCAAGCTGAGATTGTGTTAATGAGAAGTCATAGCAGAATCATCGTTCATTTACAATCGAAAAGGAAGCAGTCAGCAGTCAGCAGTCTGGTAATAAAAACATCATCTGTGCTGAAAATCACATATTCTCATGTTTTCGTGACGTGACCGACTCTCCCACTTTGACAGCTCTGCTGACAGATGACTCAAATGACAACTTTTTGATGTGAAATATAATGTGCCTCTGAAGACAAAAACATTAATTTGGTCTGTGTTTGTTAGGAAAATATCTAATCCAGCCACTGGATGTACATCTTTAACTGACGAACTTTGGGAGTCAATCCATTTCAAGATGGCCGCCAGTGTTTGTGGATGTTAAGCTGAAAAAAAAGGATTTTTTTGTGTAGTAACAATTATTTAATTTTTCTTTTAAATTTTACAAACAAAATATCAAAATCTCTAAACTACTAGAATTTACTAAATAAACAATACACATTATATTGTATATCAATATTACTGTACAAAAAAGTAAATGCTAATATTATTTTAGCAGTAATATTGAAGTGTTTTTTCTGGACAGCACATAAACATGAATATATGAAGTAACTTCTACTCTTCTGGACTAAAACTGAGGGTGCATGCACATACAAAGGCTGCTGCTCCTCATTCCCTTGCTTCACTTTTCAAGGAGAGGACAAGACATGGTGGAAATAAAACATAAGTTGTCTGCTTTCTTTTGCTTGAATACATTTGTTGGTGTGCAATAGTTTGATGACATAATGTAGGTGATATTTAGTTGTCAGGGAACAGGGAATGCATATTGTAGCATTCTGCTGTGTTTGGCTGTTTGTCATGTGACTGCAGTGGAGGATTGTGGGTAGGATTCATGTTTGTTGTTGTTAAATCATTTTAGGGAATTGGTTAACATTGTTCTTTCAGCAATTAGTCTGTTGTGTTACTGTAATTTGTGTGTTCATCAACTAAAAGTGAGAGTGGTAGGCCTAGTCATTAATAAGACCTGTGAGTTTCACTTTGTCTGTGTTGTTCATGAAGAAGAATCCAATAAAGGTTCTTCAAAACTGCCACCTGGTGGTGATGTCTTGAACTACAACAAGAGCTACACCTCTCTCTGTAGCTGTGAGGTGTCATGATACAATATTGTGCTTGATGCATGTGTGCTGTTATAAATAACTTGGAACGATTAACTAGAAAAAATCCTGTAAACAATTTGCACTAATGTTTAAGTAAATTTAAATGCTACAAATTCATGTAATATTTACTCATCATTATCTAGTAAAAGTTATTAAGAATATAGTTAAAGATTGTGAATAAATCAGGTAAATTTTACTTAATTTGATCAAGTAAATATTACAAGATTTACTCGAGCAAATTAAGTAAAATTTACTTGATTTATTCCCAGCTGTTCCCAGCTTTTATGATGCAAAAACAGCAACACAGAGAAAAAAAGGAGAGACACACATCCATCTTGCTATCCTTTTGAGGACTTCACACACACACAGCGCTCACAGCTTCTCTGCCTCATTCTGCTGCTCCCGTTTTTAACACCAGGCAAAAAATGCATTTAAAACAGCTGATGTTAACTTTAGATCACAGTTTGAAACCCTCCAGCATTTTTAAAAAGAAAAACAACACGGACACGCTGATTACAGTGCGGGGAGAAAGTGAAAGTAAAACATGGTGCTGAGCACCCTTTGGTAAAGAAACTTAAACACAGCTTTTCTCTCTCCCCTCATATTCTGACACAGAGGGTAGAAACAGCTAAATTAGACAGTTAAAACACATTTACAGTTCATAACTCACCCTTGTTGTTGTAACATTCATCCTGTGTTGTCCGCGAGCACTTTCCGGCCTGCTGTGGGTCCATTTCCTTGAAAAATGAAACTTAACCAGGCACTTTAAAGAAGCTCTGCTCTGACACTGGTAGTCTATGTAGATAATAATGTAGGTTTACACACCCCAGAACTGAACATTTTGACTTCTGAACTTGCATATTTGGCATGACGCTATGGACTACAAAACCACACAGCGAGGAAAAAATGGTGGACTATGAAATCCAGTTGTCCGGAAATACATTACCATAAATGGTAGTTCTGAAGAAAAAAATGTGACAAAATAAACAATGACACGAAATAAGTAACAGCAGTTTTTGAACAAACTGAAAAATTTGACTCATAAAAAATATAAAAAATATATCTTTGCAGTAACTGGACAGCATAAATTAAACGTTTCTATACTCCTAGACACTATAATTGCACAAAAATAGTTTATAAATGCAAATAAAGTGCATTTAGCATGGTATGTCTCCTTTAAATCAAAACATTGATGGGATTAGAGGTGGTGGGTGGTCTGCAGTCCTTCACAGATTGAAGGTTTTTTGTTTGTTTGAATTATTCCTTTTAATTCTGACTCTATACATTAATATGCAGATTATCTGAGTCTGCCATGCATATTGTGATAAATGAGTGGGAGACGCCACATGAACAGCTCCATGCTGAGCTCAGATATTGGCCAAAGCAGGGCAGATGAATACTCCATGATGCTGTGGAGTCCACACAAACAACATGCTAATAAATCTTCTCAGACATGTTTGGTGCCTTTATCAGATTTAATCCCAGTCTGATCTGTAGGGATGTGCATCGTCTTTAAAGTGTGTTCTCGGCTGATTGTAACCCACTCTGTTCTGTTTGATTGCAGCGTCTCCGACCGTCCCTCCTCTGCACTCGGAGCATTTCAAACCCTGCCATGAGAAGGACTTGGCCTACTGCCTGAATGGTGGAGAATGTTTTGTCATCGAGACCCTCAGCGGACCTCACAAGCACTGCAAGTAAGTCCAGGCTGAACCAAAACGTTCAGCTACTTTCTTTTTCTTCTGCTCAGGTTTTCTGGATTTCTAAGCTGTGTTTGCTTTTCTTATGGCTGCTTTTGGTGAAACGTTGCTTTGGATTAGAAACTTGTTGAGGTTTTAAAGCTTGGTTTATGTTATGTGTGACAGCATGTGGACGATGACCTGTGAATAGATGGAGCTGCCATTTCTACTGTGGAATTCTGCAAACACCTGCTGTTACTTCACATACTCTCTGTTTAATGTTTACTTGCATTTTCTCATGTGTGCAAACTTATGGAAAGCCATTAGTGACAAAGTGTTGTAAATATGCATCACATTTATATGAGTAAATCATGTACATCATGGTAAAAACAGCTAAAGTACATGTTGTTCAGGTGTTATTTATGGGTTAAAATC